AGCGTGTTTTGTTTTTGCGGACATTTGGGGGATGTGGGGGCGGACGGGCTTGCGGGTGCGGGTGGGCGGATCTGAGGGGAGAGTTGTTGTAGGAGCATCGGCGTCGGGCATGATGGTGTCTGCTTCGGTCGGTGTGGAAACTGCAGGTGTATCTGATTTGCCGTTTTGATTTATCTCGGCTGGCGGGCCATCTTCGTCGCTCTCCGAGTCGTCATTCTCCTCATCTGGATACAATATGCCCATCTTCTCTGCCAGTGCTGCTGTGAGCAGACCACCTGTGTCATCGACTACCAACCACCTTCCTCCTCCTATTTGACTGACGCCGTCTTCTGCTTTCAGTACCCTACTTGACTCGCCCGAGTGAATATTTGCCCAACTGCAGATTAGTCCCAGCAAGTCTTCTCTCAACTCCATGATCTTGTGGGACTCCTTCTCCAGGACGTACTCGATCAAGATGCCAATGTCTAGTGGCAGGGCCGTGAATCGCTTCATGTATTTTTTCGACTTGCGAAGCGTGTACTTGGCCAGGGAAAAGGTCGTCTTCTCGTCGAGGGCGTTGTGCGAGGCCATGATCTTTGCAATAATCTCCTTGCCAGATCCCGCACCGGCTTTCTTGAGCTCTTCAATCTCGGCCATTGATAGGGCCTGTCGCGAGGCGTCATCGACCGTCAGCCGATTGTTCCTCATAAGCACCTGTCCATCTTCGCCAACAATGTCGAAGCCTGGGCCGCGCTCCGCAGTGTCTTCGGTTGGTTCTGTGGTCGGTACATAGTCGTCACCGAGGGCTTCGGCGTGCAGTTCGGCGGCGGGTACGATGCGTAATTCGGTCTTGGATTTGCCGTCGTCTTTGTCGAGCAGCTCGTAGGTGTAGTAGTACGGTCGTCCGAGCAAGAGGCTCGAGTTGAAGGTGCCGAACTTTCCAAGATTGATTGTGCTGTATCATAAATTAGACGTTGTGTAATTGCAATCACCGGGGACTGGACAGGACATGGAGGGCTCACTCCGACTAAGCAACGTACGTATTCGGGGTGATTTCGATGACCTTGAGCAGACCTGAGGGAAGGCGCAGCGCAACGTGCGTGTTGGGGCGAATGTACGAGTGCATAGTGATTGATTGCCTTTGATGAGTTTACCGAGCCATGTGCAGCTGTGACTGCGATTGCGACTGCGATTGCGACTGCTGCTACTGTACACTACTTTACAGTGCGCTTGCACGTCGAAGCCAATGGCCTGAAGTCAGTTGCGACAAAGCCTAAAGGCCAAGGCCAAGTACGTGCGACACCTGCAGTCAAGTCGATTGAGTCACATGTAGCATGTAGAGTAGGGGAGAGGAGAGTAGTTGGTAATGTTATTTCCCCCAGTGTCTACGGAGTAGAGTGGCAGTGTTTAGTGTTGTCGCGTCGCATGAAAAATTCCCGAGCTTCGACCAGACTTCGCTTCCCCACAAGGCGCGGGGCGCCACTTGTTCCCGCCACCCACCGACGCCACTTGTTCTGTGCACAGCCACACCTGCCCCTGCCCTACTACTCTAGTACTTGCCCTTTCCCAGCCCCAGCGTCGTCATCGCCTTCCAGTCACTTGCTCGCGACTTCCATCTTACCCGTCAGCGCCGCGTATGCCAGTGAATAGACAACCACCACTCTTCCTTTCTTCTTTCCTTCCTGACTTGACTACAGCATACTCTGCCACTCACCCCCTCACCCACTCTGGTTGAATGGAATCATCGTCCCCTCGTCTCCTGCAACATATAATTCTTAGCCAAGCCTTCACTCACCACTGTACTCAAGGCACAACGCTGCCAAGTGCTGGAAGCTTGTTTGCCCATTATCTCACCACCACCACGGCCAACACCCCGACCCCCACCAAGAACCTACAGCCAACTGCCACCCCACATAATACATAATGGTGCTAAGGGCGCAGCCTCCCTACCCTACCACCCCTTCCGAAGACCATCTCCCCGCGCTTCCCTTGACACCTCCCCCAAATGCCCCCCACGCGCCACATGTAAACACATCGCCAGCATTCCATCTCAAAACACCAGAGGATGCAGATCTTCTGCCGCCACGAGCACAAGACGTCGACTCGGATTTGAGTGACGATGAATGGGACCGGTCATCAGACGAAGACGACTTCGAAACAGTGAACCCACGCGACGTGCCAGATGCCTTGAAGCCCGCCGGGGGGAAAGCGCCATCACCCACGCCTATCGACAAGAATAGCCTGCCGGATGCTTTGAGGGTAGGACCGCCTGCGGGAATACCGATCAAACGATCCACGGAAAACATCTCGCCCATGCCCACGGGCACAACGGCTGCATCCTATGGCGCCAGAAGTACCGTCTCAGAGCAGTCCAACGGCTCCATACCCCTACAAACGAATAATCCCTACCTCAAGATACAGACGACAGGCCAGAGCAACTGGGGTGGCGAGAGCAGCGAGGCTATATGGGGACACCCGCAGGACCACAGCAGTCACAAGAGCGCGACCCCGGTAGAGCTGCCAGCATACCAGACGCCCGTCATACCCACCCAGGCTATGCAAAATCTTCATGTCAACAGTCACGTACCACCGGCGCAAAGCTCCAAGTCACCTGAGCAGCCGCCGCTAATTGCAGTCGACTCGGCCACACCTCAGTCTACCCCATTCAAAGACTCCTTCAATGCCAACCCTTGGGCGGCTGACACAGAAGTCTCCTCGTCCATACCCCCTTCAAGCGTCTTTGACCTACCTGATGATGGATCGCACCAGCCAGGTCAGACTACATGGTCAGAACAGCAGGATGGGACCAGAATGGAACAGTCACAAGCCCGAACTGAATCGAATACCGCTCATGATCAAAATGTGGTCCCCACTTCCCAAGGAGCTCTACCACAGCAAACCGCATCACCACATGTTAACACACAACCTCCCGCAATGGTACCGCAGGCAGCGCTCTTGCCCGCGGAGGAACGACCACCAGCGTTGCCCCCCAGGAGATCACATGAGGAATTCCCACCTACGATGCCCCCACGACCAATCGATACCGGAGCTAATTCTTCGATTGCACTAGGACCCGAATCGCCCAACACAATGATGAACAGACAGAAGAAAGAGCACTACCAGATCAAGCACATACGTTGGCACGACTACAACAAGCAAGGTCTTCGTACATCACCAATCCTCACACAGAACCTGAATGGACCGTGTCCGTTGCTCGCTCTAGTCAATGCGCTCGTGCTTTCAACGCCGCCCGGGATCGAGACTGCGCTGATTGAGACGCTGCGGACACGTGAAACCGTCAGTCTGGGTTTATTACTCGATGCTGTTTTCGACGAACTCATGTCAGGGCGGCGAGGGAATGCTGCACAAACATTACCAGACGTCAGTGAGCTGTACAAGTTTCTCCTTGCTCTACACACTGGTCTCAACGTCAATCCCCTATTCGTTCCGGATTCACAAGATGTTAGCCATTCTACAATGTTAACCAACAAAGCGGGTGGCTTTGAGGACACTGAAGATATGAAGCTGTATCGCACATTCGACATTCCACTAATGCACGGCTGGCTGCCGGAAGCAGGCACCGAGGCATATGCCGCGTTCGATCGAGTTGCTAAATCATATGAGACTTCGCAATACGTGCAGTTCCAAGAAGAGGAGCTTGATGCGAAGCTCCAATCAGGCGAAGCGCTCAGCGAAGAGGAACAGCAAATGTTTACCGATATCCACGCAATCAAGGAATTCCTCAACCGATGGCCCACACAGCTTACCGATCATGGCTTGAAAGTCATCCGGGAGAATCTACAACCTGGCCAAGTCGCCATCCTGTTCAGAAACGATCATTTCTCGACACTGCTCAAAGATCCCCGCACTGATCAACTCGTCACTCTAGTCACTGACCAAGGCTACTCTTCGCACGACGAGATTGTATGGGAATCGCTGGTTGATGTCAATGGTCAAGGCAGCCAACTCTTCTCGGGCGATTTTCGCTCCGTGGACAATAGCGGGTCTGCCGGAGTTCAACAGCAATCCCAGAACAGCGACACAAACGACAGTCAAGGCTGGACCACTGTGCCGACCCAACGTCCCAACCAGGAAAATAGCGAAATCACTTCACCTGAAGGACTCAGCAGAGCCGAACAGGAAGATCACGACCTCGCCCTAGCCCTACAACTCCAGGAAGAGGAAGAGGACCGCGAACGCCGCGAAGCGGAACAACGCCAACGCGCAAATACAGCCCCATCCTCACCCAGGCCCAGCCGCGGCGACCAGGCACCGGTCATCCCTCCTCGCCGCAACAATGTCACACATCGTCCTGCCGGAGAAGCAGCACCGCCTCCGACGTACGAAGAAGCATCTCACACACCACGATATAATCCCCCCGCCTGGTCATCCTGCAAGCGCCC